ATAATTATGATAGTACTATGTACTTTGTTGTCTATATTCCAAGTTGTACTGAAAATTTTTGTAGTTTACTTAATGCTGAGAGCATTTTACAATTGAGGAAAATGCTTTAAAGCTATATTTTCTAATCTTTTTCTGCTTTCCAGATTTTATTTTACTTTTTATATTTTAGATTATATATATGCCACCGTTTTGAAAACTTCTCAATGGATTCAACCTAGTGGTTAAAAAAAGAAAGAAAGAAAGAAACTCTAGGTTAAATTCTACCAGAAAGGAGAGAGAAAAGCAACAAAAGTTAGTAAATGGCTTTTATTTGCAGGAGATTAAAATATTGAAAATGATATAAATAAAATGAATTGTGAAATTGCAATAAAATATGCAGATCTATAAAAAATGAATAACTCAGGTTGATAATCTAAAACCATAAAAAACTATGGAAATATTTGTTTAATATAAGGTAAAGAAGAATTTTCTTTAAAAGAATGTAAAAGTGTTATGATTTTACTTTACTTTTTACAGGATCATTTTCAAGATAGAATCTGAGAATTAAGAAGAATGATGGAAAGAAATATTTTTAAAACATAGACTAACAAAATAAGGATTATATCCTACTGAACATAATTGTCTCTGGTGATTTTAAGAATAAAAGTCATACTCCAAAAGAAAACAAATTATTATAATGCATTTTATAAGAATGGATTAATAGCATGATATATATTTTTCATGATTAAGTATATAGGCATTATACGCATAATATTTTTATAATCATATTTATCTACAGAGGTATTTGAAAAGAACAATAAGAAGATAATTAATTAAAGCTTAGCAATGTTGTTTTTTTAAGTATAAATATTATAAAAATCTCTTCATATTTTATGAGCAAGAAATAATTTGAATTATTCTGTAAAATGCACATGATTATGCTTTATCAATTGTAAGTAATTATTTGGTTTTTGCTTCATTTTGTTTTCACTTTCTGATTATTCTCATTTGTAAAATTCATACTTACATGCGTAAACAAATCAATCTAAGCCACATTATAGATTTGCATATTAAGTAGGTGCTCACATAATTTAATGGAAGGTAACCCTGTGGATTCAGGGAGAGGACTTCTTGGAGGAAGTGAAATTTTGTGGATAGTTAAGATAATTAATGTTATATAAACAGAGTCCATATTTGGAAATGGATTGAGGGGGCAAAATCCAGCCTATGTGATTGGCATGGGAACCTGAGTAGGTACATGAAAACAGAGTTTCCTGTATGGTATCTGCCAGGCCGTTGTTTTGGCACTATGTTTGCACTGTATGTACATTCTTTTGATTTAGTAAAAGGCTTAACATCACTCAGAACGATCAAAGAACATGATCTGGGTCCAAATTTCACTCTAAATTTATTCTTTATATCATGTAAAATATGTATTCATGTTTTGTCTCTGGAGCAAAATAATCTCAGTGTTCTCTTCTCTTATAGGATGCCTCTATTGGCACAGAATGTATTATGTTTTTAGCTGATCACCATGGGTGAGGCCAACAGCTCCAGCCTGACACCAAGATACTTTATCCTTAATGGGATTCCTGGGCTGGAAGCCGCACACATTTGGATCTCCCTGCCATTCTGCTGTATGTACATCCTTGCTGTCGTGGGGAACTGTGGCCTTATCTATCTCATCAGCCACGAGGAAGCCCTGCACCGACCCATGTATTACTTCATAGCCTTGCTGTCCTTCACCGATGTTTTTGCGTGCACTTCCTTTGTTCCCAATATGTTATGTATCTTTTGGTTCAGTCTCAAAGAGATCCACTTTAATGCCTGCCTTGTACAGATGTTTTTCATCCACATGTGGACAATAACAGAGTCTGGCATGCTCATGCTCATGGCTCTGGACCACTATGTGGCTATTTGCTACCCTCTACGCTATTCCTCCATACTCACCCATACTGCCATTACCAAGGTTTGGTTTGCCACTTTCTTTAGAAGTGTGTTGCTCACAATCCCACATACTTTCCTGATCAAGCGTCTTCCCTTCTGCAGGGGTAACCTTATCCAACACACCTATAGTGACCATATGTCTATGGCTAAATTATCCTGCGCCAATATCAGGACTAATGCTCTCTATGGTCTCCTAACTGTCATAGTGATTGGGGGCTTTGATATACTCTGTATCACTGCATCTTATACCATGATTATCCGTGCTGTAATTCATCTATCATCTTCAGATGCTCGCCACAAAGCCTTCAGTACCTGTACATCACACATTTGTGCTATC